TGGCAGGGAACTGTCATACCATTTTAGTTTGTTATTTTTGAATCTCTCAGCATGTAGAGTGACACAGATGTGTATCATGTAACAATACCGATAGCCTGAAGGAAAAAACTTAGGTGTTCTTTATTTTCAGAAGTTTTACATTAACAAAATCATTCTTGATGCTTTGAATCCTCTAAATATTTTTAATCTTGTAAAAAAGGATAGCGATTTGAATTTGAAACGTTCAGCTTTTTTTTTTATTAACACTAAGCATATTCATTTAAACTTGAATTTATCCTGTCAGTCGACCTACTTTCCTTTTTATACCTTTAAGAAAATAAAATTTCAATGCAATAACCCCTACATAAAATTGCTCCATAAAGTAGCTAGAATTGATATTTTTATGCAAAAAGCATTAAGAAAGGATATTTGTAGGGATGACCTCACAGAAAAAAAATAGTTAAAATAAGTGAAACCAGGCTTCCCTTCACACTGAAGCATTCCCATGATTCCCAGCTCATTATTGGTTATCCTGCTTGAACACTTGGTTTTTTGACTGTTTGTTTTTTTGCTCAGAATTGCTCACAATATCCAGCTGTTTTGAATAAAAAGCACACTTATTGTTTCTGCCCAGGGCAAATTGGCAATTAAAGTAGCAGGTTTAGTGAACAATGTTCAGTATCTGCTGGATACAACAAAGAAGGCGTTTTCTCACAAGTTTGCAGTATCAGCTGAAAAAAAAATGTGTGTTTACAGTTCATATATATATATAATTTGCTTTTTCAGGGATAAATGTCTCAGGTTCCTCATCAAACTGTTGATCTGCAGGCTGCTGCAGGCCTTGCTCCTTTTCATCATCACTGGAGAACTGATGTTTCTGGCTCTTTTCATTTTCATTTTCAGCTGGCAGTGAAACAAGGTTATCCATGCTTCATATTTCTTTGAGTTTATTCTGACTGATCTAGCAGCCGTTTTCATGTCAAACCTAGCTGAATGTACAGTCATCTGCTGCCAGCATGGTGTCAGCCAGCTGAAGGGTCAGCTCTGACACAGCAGTACCAGCTGCCTGGCTCTCACACAACAAAGTAATTACTCATGTCACACTGAATGACTCGCATCAGTGGGTGCGATCTTTAATTTTCATCAAATCTGGACAAACTCCAGTGTGTATGTGTGGCAATAATCTAGCAAGTGGGGAAAAAAACATGTGTCATGCAGAAAAAGTTTATTAGGCATCAGGACATCTATAAATCAAATTAAATATCACTAATTGATCAAGAACCTGATATAGGCTGACTTAAGATTCTCCCTTTCATCAGTCATACATGAATCCCCAGTCACACTATCAAGGGCACATATGAAAGCCTGCAGCAGTTGATAGATGCCCTAACATGCCCTCATTCCAACCACACTGCCAGATCACTGGGGTATTGCAGTCATGGGTTCCCATAGTGAGATGATCCAGAAGCACCTAACAAAGAGCCAAAACTCAACACCGTCAACCAGGTGCACAGCTGAGGCTCACTGGTCCCTCCTACTGAGAGAGAGGGGGGCAGTGTATCTTTTTTTTGCTCTAAAAAGTTTATTTCAGAAATACATGTTGGTGTGTTCATGGCTTTTCTATGAGAATTAGTTTAACTAGAAACTAATTCCAAAACAAGGTTAGGTTTGATAAAAAGGCTGTTTACATTTTATGCTCTGTAAAATCTAAATGCAATCAGAATGTAATTATTTGAAAATATCTTAAAACAAGAGTTCATTCACAATGGAACACAGAAAACTTGGTTTAAACTGGGAGATTTTACAATTTCATTAAAAAAAATATTAGCTAATTTTTCATTTAAGTACAGGAACATGTTTAGAGAAAGTTGGAACAATGGCAAAAAGTTCTGGGAAAGTAAATGGTACTAAAAAAGAATCAGCTGGAGGAACATCTTGCAGCTAATTAGGTGAATTGGAAACATGCGACTAACATGATTGGGTATAAAAAGAGCATTTTAGAGAGGAAGAATTTCTCAGAAGTAAAGATGGGTAGATATGTATAGTAATTTCTGAATGTATAGGGGTGGAATTAGTAGCTTACACATCTGGAAAGACACCTTCAGTGCTGAAAGATATATACAGGTTTTAGATTAACATATGGTCCCATCCCATTTAGGGATTTCAGTGCAATTCAGGTAATTTTATATAGTGCCACATCACATATTTGGTGATTTGGCACTATATAAAAATTTGGTGATTTGGCACTGTATATAGTGCCAAATCACAACACCAGTTGTCTGAAGGCAGTATATGCTGCATTCTGTATCAACTAAAGGCTTTTCAATGAGCCTTTAGAACTCCCTGATAATAATGAATTGCAACAATCCAGCCTAGAAGTAATAAATGCATAAACTAGGTTTTCAGAATCACTCAGGGATAGGATATTTCTATTTTTAGACATTTTGCGCAAAATGCAAGAAGGCAGTCCTTCTACATATTTGTTTAATTTGCATATTTAAGAACATATCCTAGAGCTGAGGTAATGCCATACAGAGCAGGTATCTGGTTGGACACCATGTTTCTATGATTTCTAAGGTCAAGTTTTATTTGAATTTAGAAGCAGAGATTAGTGTCACCCAGGTCTTTTGTCTTTGAAACATTCCTGTAGTTTAACTAGTTGTTGTGTGTTTCCTCTGGCTTCATGGATGGATAAAGCTGGGTATCTTCTGCATAGCAATGAATATGTATGCCGTGTCTTCTAATAGTACTGCCGAGGAAAGTATAATATAAATAGAATTGGTCCCTGCACAGAACCTTGTGGAACTCCGTAATTAATCTTAGTGTGTGAACAACACTCCTCATGCGCATTAACAAATTAGAGTCTATTCGATACATATGATTCAACCCACTACAACTACGATTTCTGCAGTAAACTATTGTGATCGATTGTATCAAACTGCACTGAGGTCTAGCACGACAAGCATAGAGATGACTCCATTATCATAAGAAGAGTATTCATAACCTTACTAATGCTGTCTGAAACTCTTCAAATTAACCGTTTCTCTGCAGATTAGTTAACTGTTTCACAACTACTCTTTAAATAATTTTAGAAACAAAAGGAAAGGTAGAGATGAGCCTATTAGCTAAGTTAGGTCAAGTGTTCCTTTTTAAGTGTAAACTCTTTTTGAAAAGTCAAAATGAGCTAATATGTTTCTTAAAATATTGCAATCAAATCATTGCATTTTTTTTACTTAAATTTTTCAACTCAAAACAGGGTCCCTATGAAAATGCATTTGGATCAGCCGATTTATACTCAGCATATTATCTAATAGTACTGTGGTATATCTAAGAGGTTGGAGAATAAACTATTGACCTCATACACTTGAAACGATTCCTGTTGAAATGATAGTTCGTGGCGCTACTACAAACCAATCCCAGATCCCTCAGAGAACATGTGTTGTTGATACATATTTAATATGTACATGCCTCTAAAAATAGAAACATTCAGAAGTATGTCACTATTTTTCTTTGTTTTATTGATGTGATGGGAAGCATCTCCCTTACTAAAGTGAGACACCCACAATGTCTTCCAGGAAGTTTTGATTTTGTTATGCTTTTGTTTTGAAGTCCATTAACCACTCTCTTTTTTGAGGTCAGCTTCCTGAAGGCCTGATTCATGGAGTGCACACACGATTACGGCCTAATGATGCTCACCTGAAAGGAGTTCTCCAATTATCCACTGCTAGTGGGTTAAACCATCAGATGAGAGCTGAGGGTGGGATCGGGCTGAATCTTCAATTTGGTTTGATTTAGTTAGTTTGCATATTATTTAGCTGGGGTGTGTTTGTAGTCAGATATATGTGAGCTGTGTTAAAATAACTACAGTATTTGTCTTTTGTAGCTGGACTGTGTCAGGGGAAATCTTTTAAATTTTATTGGTGGTGGTATGACCTGCACCTATTTAAGGAGGGGTTTTCTGAGCAGCTGCATTGGTCATTTTTAGATGTGTCACTGGTGAGCGTGTTAAACCTCTGTATGTGTAAAAGAAATATATTCAGAGCTCTGAGCAATGACTGTTTTTTCCCATTTGGTCCCCTTCACATTACCTTGCGAGCACTACATATATCTATTTGTTTATATGGTTTGGCTTGTTTGTGGTATTTTTATTACTGTTTTAAGCCATTAAATAGCAGCTTCGTTGCCCAATGATATTGATCATTGGGCAGGTGGTGCCTTTAGTGCACTTGTATGTAGTTCCATGCACTTAATTGTGCCCATTTGCCAAAACATGCTGTTCCAGAAACAAAGGATTAAAAACCCAACAATGGGTTAACAGAGCCAAATACTGTCAAGCCTTGCATTGCTGTGATAGTAGAGATGAAGAAAAGATTATTAACAGGCTCCACTGTGTACAGGACTTTTGTGCTTAAGTATTTTCATGAAAAAATCAGTGTTTTTTTCCTTTCTTTGTTTTTTCTTGTGTTGTTTTGATAGTGGTGTCTGTGTTCAAAATTTACTTGTTTATGTCTGTTTGTCAGTTTTTAATAGAACCACCAGAGGGCAAAATTTCTTTCCTGAAACATTTTAAAGCTCATGTACAACTATTGGCCCTTTGTGTATAGAATGTATGTTAATATTTTGTGATTGATAAAACATGACTGATGTTGATTGCAGAGTCTCATCTTGCGCAATGGCACCAGAAAATGTATTTCCTGGCTCTAACTATAAGACGTAACGCAAAGTTGGATGAGATCAGAAGGGGGTGGGGAGGGTGAGAATGACCCGACATCTAGAGAGGAAGAAGGTCACTAAACACATTTTCCCACCCAGTCCTGCCAAACACACACACATAGACGCACACACAAATGCAGGCCCACCCTGTAGTGTTTTGTGTGCCAGATGAGGGCGTGATACATGACTGTTGTCACTGCTTCCTTCACTACCTCAGCACTTGAAGAGCACAGCAACTGCACTGCAATATACTGATCACTAAAGAGACAGTGAAACACTGACTAGAGCAAAAAGCAAGACCATCTGCCTTACACACAAGGGAAAAGGGTGTTTAATCAAATAGCTGCAAAGGTGAAAGGGTAATTTCACAAGAATGGTACTGTATTTACAAGTCATAGTAAGCATACAACTGTAGATTTATTGGTTTAAAATATAAAAAATAAAAATGCATACAGTTCATGGCATGAGAGCAGGCAGGATGTACTTTCACAGTAAGTCCATGAAGTCCTGACAATAGCAGAAATACATAAGAGTATATAAATACACATTTTTGTTCTAAATCTGAAAGCACTTATAGTGGCTTTATTGTCATTCAGGGCTAAAGATAAGACTTTTATCTTTTTGTCATTGTTCAGTGTTTGTCACAATTCTGTGCAGGCAACTTAAAATGTCTTTTGTCTGGAGGGAGATACGATTTTCTTTTAACCAGCTTCTCATCACATGAGTATGAAGATTACTTACAGTTAATAAAAACAGGCCTCGACCCTTTGAACAATTTGTGTGCTGTGACTTGAATAACTAGATCCATGCATATGGTTAACTTCTTCTCCTCCCTACACATACACACTATTGAGTGTTTAGGACCTTTGTCAAAGATCAGATATGAACATCTTTCTCCTTTTCAGAATTAAAAATCATTTAGTTTCTAAATGCTGTCTTCATAAATATATTTTATATTTTTAGGCTCAAAGTTTAACAGCAAAAAAACTAACAAAACATTGTCTATGAATGCAAAAGCAGCTCAGTAATAAACTTTACCTTGTCTTTCATCAGCCCGAGTGTCTTGCATAAAACAAAGTGTCAATACAAATTTTGTTTCTACTTTTACAAGCTCCGGAGCTTTCGTCAGGCTAATCACAAATATTGGGTTCTCCAGTATAAATGAAATACTGTGAGCAAACAAGAGATGACCAATGCTTCAAGCAACGGCCAACTCTAGTGTCAAGTGGTTTAAAACAAAACATTTTTGTCACAGTAAATGAGATACAGTATAGTACAGAACATAGTTTCTGACAGTGTTTGTCTGTATTAAGAAGTATGTCACCTAAGAGAAACAGCTGTGATGCCACAGAACATTATCTCTGAGATAGTGCCAACTATGTCTATGTGGCTAATTTAAGTTGTGAAGTGCAGAAGATCTAAAGATTCAGTCTCTGCTGAGATGAAAGTGTATGAGCAGTCTGTAAACAAGGTTAGGGGAAAAGAGAGAACATAGCTGAGCAGAGATTTTAGGTTATCAGGAGTTGCCATCACCATTTTTGGTCTTAAGTACCACCAGGCTAACCATGACAGGGATCAGGCAGATGGGCGTGATGACCAAAGCAAACATGATGGCAGGTGGTGGGTCACTTAGCTCATCTGTGGGACAATCCTTGAAAAAAAGGGAATGAATGTCCAAAAAGGTCTGTTCCACCACACGGTTGGGCCATGGGATGAAGTATAAGTCACATATGTCTTCTGTACACATGCTTAGGTTGCTGTACCAACTGAATAGAAGGAGAACATGAAAAGTAAATTAGAAATTGGCATTTAAACAAAAAACATTCATTTTAAATATAAATGCACCCTACTTACCTGTTTACCTTACTCCAAACGCACCAGTCGGTTTCGTTCAGTGATGCCATTGCAAGCTTAAAACTTTGCACACAGTAAACAGCAAACATGTCGGAGAGGCAGCCCATTCCATCTGACTCATCTTCACAAACTACAGAGCAGAAGAGAAGAATCAACAACAACAAAAAAGGGGGGAAAGGGAAAAAGAAAGTGGCTTTAAAAATGAGTTGTACATAAAACAACTTCTGCAAGACTCCCTTTATCAAATTATATATGAAGATATATGATTATGTATGTTTAGAAGGTTATGCCACTTACCAAACTGTCCAGTGGCATCTGAAAGAGAAGAAAAAACACTTTTTAGCTTAAAAACATGTACATGAAGCAGTAAGTCTCTCCAAATCTGCCATGTAAGCCCTTCCTAATTCAGTTCATTAAAAAACGCATCTGTCCAAGCAAATCGGAGTACCATGGGAATTTTTAGTCTACTTTAGATAATGAATTCTTTCCACATCTCTAGCACAGAGGCAGGCACTTTCATATATAAAAGGGAGACCACACACTCACCGAAGAGAAAGGAGAGGAATAACCCTATGAAACCAAGTGCTCCCTTCATGTCAGAAAAAATGAATAAAGGTGTGTTTTCCCCAGCGTATAACCATGTATAAAAAACCAAAACTTCTTAGACTTCGCACAGCGAGGCATAACAGGAAACCCGACAGGATGGAAGAGAAGCAGTGCAATCTTCGGTTACCAGATGTCCAAACAATGTTACCCGCGGTTACCAGATGTTCTTCGAAGATCTGTCTGATGGCCCTGCGCCTTGGCAGCAGCTCTCCCCCTCTCTAACACATGTTTCTTTAAAAATTTCTTCCGCTTTTAAAGGGGTGGAGGCAACAAAGATTGTCCTCTCCATTCTCCCAAATAAAAGGGAGCACACCCAAGCTGGGGCTGGACTCACATCTGAAAACCCTTTACTCTTTAACTCTTGTTCTGCTTTTTAGTCTCAGTTTCTCACAGTCGAAGGCCTGGCCAGCTCACAGCATGTGATTTATTTGCCTTTTGGGCTGCCTCTGCCAAATAGGAAACATAAGTAAACATTTAGGACTTAGCGTTTCGGGGTGGATGTAATCATGACTCTGCAGGGTGTGCTCTGCAGACAGCCATGATTTCATATTTAGGTTAATTTGACCAAACCTGGAAAGAGTTGTTTGTCAGAGTTGACCAGCTGTTTAAAGGGCCAACTATCGTTACGCGTGCATGCTAGTAGGAAAACATTCTGTAATTAACGCTACAAGTACGGGAAATCTTGCTCATGTGTGTGATACATCTGGAAGATAGTTTCTCACTGTCCCTACTCACCACTTAAAAAAAAAAAATTGTGTGCAAGAGAGGTGCTTTCACTGATTGAATTAAAAATGAAATCTATGGTTTAGGGTTTCTCACAACCAGCTTGTTAATTTATGACACTAAATCCATATGTTCGGCCTCTCACAACATCTGTTTGCCAAGCAACCTTTTGATTTAGTAATGACATCAGGAAATGTGTTCTCTTTTTTTTTTCCAGCGGGTGGGGGGCTCAGAGTTGAGAGCACTGGCAGGGGGAGGAGGGGGACAGTCGGGGGATACAGGAAAAAAGGAAAAAAAGGAAGGCACAGGATGAGGAACAGTGAAAGGGGCGCTGCTCCAATGTTCTAGTTGTTTCACAACTCAGAGTTCATGCGTTGATCACAGACGTTGCGTGGGGTGAATGACGAACAAATTTAGGAAGTCGAGCCAGGTGGGGGCTGCTCGTGATGAGGTTTCAGTTAACCTCCAACCCCAAACCATTACGGGCCTCATGTCCACTGACGTTGACCCCTTACTGGTAGAGACCTCCCCAGGAGTTTGTCTTGGATTCTTATGGTAATACACAAGGACAAATCTTGGCAGAAAAAAGGATCCCTGAGTTCTGCTTTTCTGGTTTGTCAGTTCCAGACCAGGCAAATAAGTTTAGAAATGTAATCCAAAGCAATTCCTCAGAGGACACAATTACATAAACCCTATTTGGAACTGTAAAAATACAAAATCTAGGACATATAGACATAGATGTATAGCTGTCAGTCTATAATAAAGTGACAGAGAAAATGTATGCACTTACTAAGAGTCATCATCCTGTCTGTTGAGTTAAACTCTGCAAAGAAAGGGTATCAGTTAGTGAGCAGTCATGCATGAATTTTGTTTCTTCCTTGGTTTGTTGCTTATTTCTGTAAATGTACTTACCTACTGTTACTGTCGGACGCACAGTTACCTTTTCTTCACTTTGACATACCACTGCTGTGCTTGCTATAATAAGAGGAATAAAATAAAGACCTGAACACTGGAATATAACTGTTGATTTAAAACACCACAATATTTTATATGTGCAAATAATCTTCTATATGTAGTTTGCAGGCCTGACTGGGGCAGTAAAGGAAATAACATGCCATGGTGAATGAACAAATGAGTGCATCCTCCCTTTGTCTAGCCCTTTTCTAGGGAAATCTTAATGTGTTCAACTCAAAAGCTCATCCCATGTGATCACGGTCTTATTGCGCGAAATAAATAAGTAATTGACTGAAATATTTTATTTATTAAAGACTCGTGACAACTGCATTTAAAAAAAAATACAACAAGATTCATAAAAATATCCTCCTAAAGTAAAAAAAAACTGATCCAAGACAAATCAGTTGTCTTGGGCTGATCACAATTACTCTGTGACCCTTAATCCAAACTGTTTCAGTGTAAAACTCAGTCATGGCATTGACTAAACTCCTTACTAAAATCTACTAATTACTAAAAGTTTTCTTTGAATTCTTACTGAGAGGTGAGTTCTTGGAAAAGTTAAAAGATTAAGTCAGAATAATAAAAATTAGGATAGCATAAAGCCTTTACTTACCCCAGATGAAAAAAGGCATAAAAACTCTGAAATACATAACTAAGAATCTGGTGAGTGTCATTTTGCCTAATGCTCTTCTCCTCTTCCCTGATGGGTAAGAATTACATATCTCAACCTTTTGCAGGAAGGCTGTGTAAAGCAACAGGAAGCCCTCATTTCCTAGTAGGGGCGGACTCACCAAATGGGGCAAAGAGCCTCTGATAAAGTTAGGACTATTGCGGCCCATTGGTGCAGGACTATCAATCTCTCTCTCTCTTCATCTATTTCCTTAGTTTGTCCCACCCTCTGTTTTCAGGGGCCACACTTTGTCCTGTTTTTCTCTTCCCCACTTTCTGCCTCTTTATTTATCATTGCAAGCAGAATTTTATTGCAAACATGGTTTCCAGCTGCAGGAGTTTCTGATCAAATGCAAGCTATGTTAGACTGACAGGATACATGCTGCTGACAAGTCGCTTTTCATGTCTTGCATAAATAAAGATTTAGAGAAGTAAATGTTTTAAGTCAATTATTTTTAGGAGAAACACACAGGGTTGCAAATCACAAAGAAGAGATACTTTTTTAGCTTATTGTTCAGAAATATCAGACAAAGTTTTAATGAATCTACAGTTAATCTACATTTTTTTAGGTTATAGATTCATATTTCATTACTGTGGAGCAACTGACTAACCGTGGGTAAAGAATATCTATCTATCTCAATAAACCTCTGTGGTAAAGAGAGGTGGCTGGAATATCCAGTATGAAATTGATGCGCGTCACTGAGGGATGAGTACTCTTTTTCAGCTGCTAGGCTTGGAAGAAATCCAAGTAGCAGAGGCCAAAATTGCTTCCACATTTCATTTCAGTTAAAAGAGGCCACTGTTTTACATGTAATGGACTGAACTTTAAAAATCCAGCATATAGAAGCTTAAATATTGAACTTGGAGTGTGAACGAAGTGGAGCACGAAGCATATTTGAAATGTAAGTAAGTAAACATTTACTTTGACACGTGTTCTACAAAAATGAATGCTTCTACAGTCACTCGCTATTTCAAATGGCTTTCGAAGTCTCTGTTTTATTAGCTACTTTGTAAATCTTTTCATCTCCAAGGCTTTGTCACAGATCATAAAGCCTGCAGCATATCTGAAGAAATGTATCCCAAATAGAGATGCCAAGATCAACACGCGCAGTTTACGTGATACAGAATTAAAAACTTCCTGCTGATAACAGTGTCCTAAGCTCATCTTCCTCTGTGTGTTTGCTTGTTTGACAGTTTAGTATCAACATGGCAGTGGCTACTTCACATATCACTGTGGATATGGCAAACAAACTGTATCTGAGATACTTTATGCTCACTGAATGCATAAATCATAAGCAGGCATGCGTGCCACAAACAGCACAGCCAGGGAACAGAGGGGATCAACGACAACAGCAATCAGACAGAAACACAACGGGTCTGTTAAGGCGATATAAAGTTTCATTTCTCTTAATCCTACTTTGATGTGTACATATGAGTTCATGTGGCGTCCTTCCAATAAAAAAACAGCTAAACAGCACCATCTTGTGTCTTGCAGGTGAATAATTACTGTGTCTGCTTTTGGGGATTTTTTTGTAATATCTTACAAGTAATAAACTATAAAATGAAATAAATGGGAGCTATAAATAAAATACCCTGAGGGTAAATATTTTTAAATATATTTGTATACTTTGTATTTTACTTTTTTCTTTGTGTTATATCCTGAGGGGATGTGTTAAAATTCCTCCCGTGGAGAGCACACACAACATCGACCATATTTATCAAAGCAGTACTTTCAAGGACTTTTATTTATAGCAAACCACTACTCGATTGCCTGCACTTTCAGCTTCTTATTTGGCATTAAGTACACACACTAATTGTTTTATATTTGATTGAACGTAAATATTTGGATCTATTTAAAGTGATTGTAGCAGATTAACTGATTATCTCTGATTTTAATTTTATGCACAAATCAGAATCACTGCCTCCATAGTAATGTGACTATTGGTAATTTATCGTAATTACTTATAGTGTTAGGAGTTAGCTTGTGTACATTAAATCAAATCAAGCCAGAAAATCGCATGAGATCAACTGTTACCACGTGAACCCTACGTCCGGTTTATGTGTGATGTGTTAAATTAAACATTTCCCTTCGAAAGGGGTGTGACGTTTGGCTACTTACACATATGCAAAGATTTAAACCAATCTGCTTCATACAGAGGTTAATATACTTCTCTGTAAATTCAAGTCATTATGCTTTCTCATATCGCTGCTCGTCAAATCAAAGTCCATCGAAAACATCATTCGATTGTGTTTTCAGCTTGCTTGCAGCAGCTTGCTGTATAGTGGGTTTTACGTGGGTTAAGTGACAGCATCAGTGGCGTGAATCCCTTCATCCAACCCTCTATCTTTGTGTGTCGGGCTCTCCCTGGAGGAGAAGAGCTGAACAGCAGCTGAATTGGTTTCCATTTGACCCCAGTACATTGGAATGTCCGGAAACTGTGTTCCAGTGTCCAAGTATTTATTATTTTTAATTCGTAGGCTAGACAGTTACTTCAGCTCTGTGGGCAGGCTGAATTAATGCATCCGTTTTCAGGTTCTGTGAGAAGTTTATTTTGCGTTTATTTTTTTTTATTTTATATATATATATATATATAATTAAATACCCGATACTCCTATAAAACTACGTGTATTCATAATGTGTATTTAGGCCATTTTATTCTTTTGCTCCTATAGAGTGGAGCTATATTTAAGATTATGTGATTGCACTTGCTCTACTATCAAAACCCACAGAGTGATCTGCCTTCACGCATTTAGATGGCGATCTAGCACTCCGGACAGTTGCATCAGTTCCTGTGTATGCGTGTAAATGGCTGTGCTGCGGCTGCTGCACGCTACTTTTTATTCCCAGGACGCAGAATAGTAATAAATCCTCCTCTGCTTGGAAAGGCTGTGATCATAATATAGACGTCACCCTCCTGCTCGAGTGGATCAACCAAGCCAAGTGCGCAGTTATTTGTAAGGTACAACAACAACAACCTCCAGCACCATGCCCATGGATAGAGATTTCTCGGAGATCCCCTCGCTGCGCGGAGATGATAACTGCGTCAGAGCCATAGCAAACACAGCCTTGAATTGCTCCGGATCTCTCTACTAAAAAAAAAAAACGAGAGAGAGAGAGAGAAAACAGAAAGGGACTTGGTCGCGTTGCGGGCTGTTGTCGCAACAAATAGGACACGAGACGTGGATTTAAAGGTATTTAATAACTGCGACACTGGATGTGGAGATCTTGACGTGCACACCCGAGCGCTAGTGTAACGTGCCGTCATTGTGCTGTTCGGTCGCACGTCTTTAGAGTGTTCTACATTTAAATGGGTACTGTGTAGCTCTCTTGGCACGGGGCTGCACTTACAGGACGTCGCGGACTTCATAGCTTCATGTGTCTGAAACGTGTGCACGTCTCGTAGCCCCCAAAAATCAAGTGCAGCAGTTTCCCCGAGCTCAGTTTTACCTTCGTATTTATTTTTAATTCCGTTTGAGTTCAGACGGGGAAGTTGATGTTCAGCGTGGCGATTATGAAACACAGAAAAACTGTACTACGCACTTTTCTATTCTGCTTTTCTGAAGTGGCACGCCCACTCCTGTGCAATG